AAAGAAGAATATTAGTAATTTCATAAATTTCTCACTCTGGTTCTTTTGGAAGGAGAACAATGAGGATAAAGCAGGAGAAATTACCCTTTAAAAAGTACAGAACAACTTTTCTCTTGCTACAAATATCCCGGTTAATTAAGAAAATAAAAAATGGAATATGCCAGACTGCCCAAAAGACTTCAGCAGCACTAACAGTGGAACAAAAGTGTAAGCATTTAAAGTTTTTGACCAGTCACACAACAGGCTCATTTTATTATCAGGATAGTCTCTGGGATAGATCTCAGATATATTACTGTGGAAATAGCATGGTTACAGAATAATATTTCACAGGAATATAAGCTTAGTTATAATTCAAAATGTTTTTAAAACTATATCAGTTCTTAGGAACTAAAGAAGTCTCACAGCTTTGAAAAATAATCCATTTTCAAACAAAATGAAGAAACATTTTAGTTGACAGTTTAATTTCTGAATGGAGCCCTATGTATTTTAATAAAAAAGAATGCAACTCTTACAGGTTTTTAGTATTAATAAAGTTAGATGAAGAATATACCAAAAAAATCTTTCACTTTTGAGCAGATTTCACATCACTAGCTACGATAATGGAAAATTAAGAACCTTTAAAAATATTTTTTCTACTGGTATATATCAGTATATGGTTATAATTGTTTATCAACTCCCCTAGTTATGAAGACAATCTTGCCCCAGAAAAAAATGGTAATAGTGGACAAACCTTAAAAGATCTAGTCACTATTCAGTAAAAGACACTTGGCATTTATATCTGCTTATTATTTTTTTAAATGTAATTTAGGAAGAAAAATGTTCATTATTTTTGGGAAGGGGCTGAAGAAATCCCAGTGAGACGTTCTGTAGAGAGGTCTTTTGTTAGTGTAACATCTGACCTTCTATATCTTTGGAAATCATGCAACTTGGCTAATGTAGTCCTTAAAGAATTAATCAAGCAGATTGTTAGGCCCTAGTTACAGTGGAGCCAGCCAATTATGAGTTGCTCAGAAATTCATCACTGGCATGTCCAACCACATTTTCCCACATAAAGATTAGTAGAAATATGTGGAAACAGGGCCCATTCCCACCCCACCCCAGCTATAATATGTGTTCAGTGAAACAAATTTTAACCAAGTTTTGCCTTAGTGAAACAAACAATCTATTTGGGAATCTTTTTGATTTCTGTCTTTACCTGTAACACTTTTTCTGCCAACATTGCAAAGGCTTCCCTATTTAGTTAAAACCCAACTAGGGATTTTTATATTCAAACACACTTGTGAATTTAAAGCACTAAAGTCACATGCCACAAGCCTGAATTTATGAGTAAGTTAATGAAATCCCCAAAGACCATCTTCAGTCTTTTCACTGTTATAATAACGCCCTCCCAAGGCTTACTAAGAAGAAAGCTTTTCTTGCAAAGAGAAATGAAAGGGGCCAGAGTAGATGAAGACTGGTTCTCTAAGGAGAGGGCATTGCTGCTCTTAAATAAAGAAGCTCCTTTCAGATAAGCAGAATCAGATTCCAGTTCATTTGGTTTGCTGGCTACCCTTACTTTGAACTCTCATATTTAACCCAGCAGGCTTCAAAGCAGGTGAGAAAATGACCTACCACTTAAAAGCAATTTTTCCTTTTTCAGGAATTCTGGCCTTAGAGAATATCAGCTCTGATATCAGCACATTCCACATCTCCAGGGATTTATGCGATTTTTTTTCATTGCTCTATGTCTAATGTCAGACTAGGTTTTCATCTCAGCCAGGAGAAAAATCAGAGGGAAAAAAAGTCCTAACTTGCTGCAAATGAAGGCTTATTCCACATAGCTTTACATTATGCAAAAGGAGAAGGGGCAGTAAAACCACTGAACATTCTAGTTTGTTCCCTTCCATTTATCTAAATCTGATGTTCAGTGAGGAATATTAAAAACCATAATCCCTAGTGCCTTGCTTCACAAAAAAGCAATTTTTGTAAGAAATGTGTTTTAACAAATTCAAATTGAATTTACTCTAGCGTGTGAGCTAATACAAAAATACATCAGATGAGGAACAGACAATGGTAAAGGAAGAAATTTAGGAAATTTTCTTAAACTGCTTCACCTTACTAAATAGAAGAAAAAGTATGTTTCAAAGATTCTTCACTGACTTCTACTGTACTTGGCTATCAAGTATCTGACTTAATTGAAAAATTTAACATAGGCAGGCAACTTACCAATAGGTTCTGCTCTACAAGGCAATTTGCCAGGGCCTAGAATTTGAAACATTTCTCCACTTTCTGTGGTTCACATACACATAATGTACCAGAAGTATACTACTCGTAGTATTGTTTAAATGATGCCTGGCCACTACTTCTACTACAATTTCCATGAAAAAATGCTTTTTGAGTTTACTAGTAGAACACAGTGCCTCCAAACATGAAGGGGATAGGGTTTCCCACTATAGCTGCACTTGGGTGATGTTGACAATGATGATGGTGACAACAGCTAACACCTAGTTTTTACTACTGGCAGACACAGTTCTAAACACTTGATATATTTTAAACTCACTTACTGCTCACAAAAACCTAGTAGGTAGTACTATTCTCATTTTATAATGAGGGAGAGAAAAGGTTAAGTAACTTACCCCAGGTTGCACAGCCAATAAGTGTCAGGGCTGGAATTCAAAGCAAAGCAGTCTGGCTCCAGAGCTGATGCTCATAACCACTCTACAATGCTGCCCCCTCTCCACCTTGATAAGGTGGCACTCTCCATGCATTCTAAATTCCTCTTATTGGGGGTAGAGTAGAGAAGGGCTTCTCCAGTTTTCACTGTGTATATAGGATCACCTGAGGATCTTGTTAATATGCAGATTCAGGAGTGCTGGAGTGGTGCCTGAGGTTCTGCATTTCTAACAAGTTCCTGGGTGATGGTAACGCTCCTGGGGCAGAGACCACACTACATTAAGTGGTGTAGAAGCAGAATTTGAGCCTCTAGTTCCCTTGTTGTCTGTTGAGGTATTTCTATGTTGAGTTTAGAAGCCAGAGCCTGCCCATACTATAATCATTTCCCATTAATTCTTAAATGGAAACTGCCCTTGGAACTGCTTTGCAGGTACTTTCAGTAAATATCTAGCTTTTAGGAACTTAAAATATACATGTAAAGGTCACAGGGGTAAAATGCGGCTGTAAATACAGGTTTGCTGTCAGCCACATTTTTAACACTATGTATCACCAACTATAAAAACACCAAAAGACAGTGAACAAATGCCTGCTTACTGTTTATCAAGTAGAACCACAATAAACTAATAACTTTTGGTCTTAAAAAGAAGCTTCCACTTTAAAACATGTAATTATTCATTCTTGGACTCGGTTGGAGGAGTGCTAAGGAGCTTGTGCCAACATCTTTAAGGCTCTGTATCAGAGATCTCTTAGGTCAATGGAGACACTACATACTGACATCAGTCAATACAGGAGTATCCTCCACATTAACATTAGCCAGTACCTCACGAAATTACACTACTAACACCTGTTACACCTCCATTCCCAATTCTCCATCTCCCTCCTTTATTTCACCTCCTTCCCACTGCTCTGAGAGAAACCTAAAAACCATCTCTCCCACTGCTTGCCTGTGATCTCAAATACACAGCTGCATATTTTTTCCCAGCTGTTGAGTGGACGGGATTTCCCTTCTAGTCCATTTTTTCCATGCCAGATTACACAGTAAATTCATTTCAGTTTGAGACACACTTACTCCCCAATCAGCACCACTGCAAGCAAGAGTTACAGTATGATCACTAAGCTTCCTTTTTATACTAAAAGGAAATAGAAGAGTCAGTCTCCAAACCAAACATCTATACTTCCTGAACAACAGTGGAAAGTCATTCTTCTTGAAGCTTGACCCAGAATCAAGTGCAGTCTCAGACTCCTAGGCCTACAGCCAGTGGCAACTTAACACATTATACAGTTGACCTTCAGGGAAAAAGAGAAACCAGTGCTCTTGCTACTGGTGCCAGAAGAAAACCAACTGATCTTTAAGGCACAAAATAAACTATTCTTAAGGCAGGAAAAGAAAGTGTAAGGAAACAGGGAGTTAGAATGGAGGCACATAGAAAGATAGAAATTACATTACCAAGTAAGGGCTAGTGTTTCTATGGTTCTCAGAGCTTTTCTACTTGGGAATATAACAAATCAACATTTTCTTTCTAGGTTTGAAAACTTATTCCTTGGTAAAAATGCAAAGATGTACAAGACACACCTTTTTAAAGGCTTAGAGACTTAAAAGGACTTATCTTTGGCAATTTTGCTTTGAGCCAGTGACGTTAATTAATAGGTTTGTAGGGAGGAGTAAATAATCATGGGATACTCTCTCTAACATCAGTCCTCAAGCACTTACTGGACCTGCATTAGGAAATGTGGAAGCAGTTCAAAACTAAAGGGTAAAAATGAAAATAAAGTTCTGTACATGGTTCTACACCCAAGGTTGGAAAGGTCAATACGAACATGCAGATATAATAACAGGGAGAACTTGTGAGTAAAGCAGTACATACTGTACCCAGGGCAAATGTCCCAAAAATCCCATCTTAGCTACTTACTTTCCATCCTAGTTGCATTCTTGAATTTAACCTTCAGCAAATCCTTAGAATTAATGATTTCATTTAAATGGAAAAATCAAAAGGCTTGTTTACAAAATAGGGAATTTTTTTTTAAATGCCACAGAAAATACATTTAAAGGAAGTGGATTATTCTTTAGCTAGTAACAAGTTCTATGTTTACCACTAAAAGTGATCTACAGAGACCAACTTTATAATATTACACCATTGTATTTCTTTAAATTTTAAGCAACAAAAATATATCTTAAATTACCAGAAACTTATGTCTGACATATTTATGGCAGCAAGTTGAAAATCAATTCCTGTAATTTACCATAACAAATATCTTCCACTACTTAACTGGTTTAGCACAAACAGATCAGAGATGGTTTCTTGCGTGTTTTACAAATACTCTACACAAGTCCTTGAGATCATACTTACAGCTTTAGCAAAAACACCCATGATTTCAGGAAACTGGTGTGTGAGAAGAGCTATCATTGCTGTAGAAGAACACAGTCCTGCTGTGAAATGGATGAAAAAAGGAAGCTCTTTCTTTGGGTAAACAGAAACATGATGAAACGCTACAAGGGAGAAAACACAGAAATGGGATTTTATTTCAGAAGACAGTATAAGCCAGTTTTAATATTTCAAATGAAATCTATTTTTAAAAACTAAAAAGGAAAATGTTTTTTAAAAAGAATGCGAAGTCTCTGGTCAAGCAAGGTAGAAGGAAGTTATCCATTATTTATTCTAGCATCAACAGCCTATCAACATAGCCAAAAGACTGTGCTGGGAACTGGGAACAGGATAGCATCGTGGGAAAGAACATTAATTGTAGTCATGCTGAGGTAGTTTTGAAAAAGAGCTTTGTCACTTATTAGCTGTGTGATTTTGAACAAGTTGCTAAACCCTCTAGAAGTTGCTACGGAGTTGTTAAGATGAACACGGTAAGCCCTTTATAAATGTGTTGTTATAATTCTTGCTCTTTGGGGCTCAGATGAGTATAGAGATCAAGAGAAAGACATATGGTTGAAGATTTCTCAGAACAATCAGCTAATAATTTTATGCAGTTATTAATAAATGTCCTATATGTGGCATTTCATCAAACACTGTAAAAATCTAACCAGAACAGCAAAGCCCTAGGATTCTGAACATAAATAAAGTCCCTTGTCATATTTTACTACAGTAAGTTACACATTTTCTCAGGTATCATTTTTCTAGCAATTGGCTATTTTATTACCAACAGTATTTAACTACTTACATCTTATTTGAAATTTGAAAATACTTGAATAACAATGCTGAGAGCAGCCTACTACAATGCTTGGCACACAGTAGGTGCACAATAAATGAGAATTGCACTGCTAAACTGAGAGTTATTCTGGTACTTCATGTGTTCAGGAAGCTGGCCACTCAGGGCTGAAGAAAAACCCAGGAATTACTGATGTAATATCCTGCTTAGGTAAGGAATGACTAATTCAGTGCTGAATCAAGGTCAGCTATAAATTTAACCTTTCTTAAACAAATGATTCACAGAGAATATTACAGCTAAGTTTCCCTTCAGTGGCCATAATATTTTTATGTCTTATACTATCTTCTGAAAGCATATACCAAAAAGCAAATTCATTAAAAATCCAGAAGATTTCCAGAGAGATAGATAGTATTATTCCTACTTTGTAAGGTAGAAAACTATATAGCTTTAGTAAGATAATTTCCTAAAACACGGAATTTTTATACTGCAGGAGAAATCCAATTATTTCTTTTTGGATTGCTTTCTGTAGATTCATTTGTCAGTCAACATTTGGCTAATACGTCAAAATAATGGATGACTAGTACAGAAACACTCCCTTGGAAGTGAAGTTCAAATTTCATCACTGGCTTGTAGAGAAAAAATTATCAGGAGGCATAAAAGACAACTAAATAGCTATGTGAACTAAGGGAATAGTTCAAGCCTGAACTTATGAGATTCATAAGCAAATTCCAGAATGTTGTAAGTCATATCAAGGTTGAAGGAGAATTAAAAACAAAAAACATTAAGTACTCCCAGGAATTAGAACTCCACATTACTAAAATTTTGTTCATTCTACACAGAGACAGAAAATATACTCTAAGAACATACAATATAATCAAACAACCCCTGCCAAACGCCAGAATAACCCTCCTCTCCTACCTCCTAGAATTTGCAAATGAGTAGCACCCTAGAAATAATAAAGGCCGGCCAATAGGCAAACTGTCTGTTCTTACAGCCTATGGCCCTGATAATTAATACATGATAATAACCCTGATTTTATTCATATTACTATGAAAGTTGGCCTTATGTCAGGCAACTTTTGTAATGATTTGGAGGGCATTACTTTAAGCTAAATGTATTACTTTAATGTAATATACTTCTGCACACTGATGTTCCACAAAGATTCATTCCTTTGCCTTAAATACCCTTTTTCCCATTAAAATGAAAACACAGTAAAATAACTATTATCACTATCATCCTAGGAAAGAAAATAAAATTTCTAACACTACTGACCTTCTAAATGCCAAAGTCAATGAATTCTCCCCAGTAATTACCTTACTTAATACTTCAGATACTCCTCCTCACTTGGAAATTTTTTCCTCCTTTTAGTTTCTAGGATATCTAGTTCTGGTTCTTGTCCTGTCTCTCTGACCACTCCTTCACTGAATCTTTTGGACTCCTTATCAGCCACTCATTCCTTAGACATTTTTGTGCCCCCATGGTTCATCCTTAGTTTATTTCTCACACTTTATTATACAGTTTCCCTTAGTGATCTCATTCATGCCTAGAAAAATGATGATTCCCAAGCCAGTTCTGTGATGTAGAAAGATGTAAAGAGAAACAGCTATCAGCACCACTGGCGATTTTGCTTTCACAACCTGATCCTGTCCCTAGGCCGCAGCTGACCAGACCAGAGATGAACACCTGAGTTAATCTGATTTCCTCTCCCAGAAGCTTTAAAAGTGGGGTTGAGATTGATAGTGGGATTCTTTATTCTCTATTATTGGCCTGAACTGACGACATGTGAAGTCAGAGCTTTATGGGGCCTCAAGTTTGGCTACATGAATAACAAGGGAAAGCCAAACTGCAAAGAGAAAGATATAAAAATGAAGCAGATACACTGAGAGAAGCAGAAATGAGAGATCATACAAAGAAAAGATAGAGTTGGCAAAGGAAACAAAGAAAGTGAGAGTAGGAAAGACTGAAAAAGGCAGCCAGAGACAGAAATATACAGCCAAATGACTCCGGGAAATCTTGACAGCCTTCTAGTTCCTGGTTCTAGTCTCTTCTGAGATGCAACTATAGCTGTTACCTTTGGGTTCTCTGAGACAATCCAGTCTTCCAACAAATTCTCTTTATGTTTAGGCTACTTTGAAGTGGTTCTCTATTACTTATACCCAAAGAACGCCTAAGCATTTACTATTTATGCAATATACATTTTAAGATAACATATGTATTATATACCTATAACTTACAAAGATATCTTAGCCCCATATATTATTTAGAGGTATAAAATATAAAGACTATGTATGTATATGTGTTAAAAAGATTACACAACAGAATATTTACGCATATATATATTCATATATATACACACACACATATATAAATGTACACACACATGTATGTGTAATTGGGTGAGAGGTTACACATGCAACATATGCAAAGCTTGAAATTATTTACTTCTCCCACTCCTATTCCCAAACCTGCTCCTCCTGCTGTATGATGGATTTACCATTCTTCAAATCACCTAAGTCAGATTTGGGAATAATCCCTGACCTTGGAGAGACAGGCACTCTCAACTCCAGCTTCCTTATAATCTATTGCGTACATGTAGCTCTTAACACATTGTTTATATATCTTTCTGTTAACCTATGAGCAGTTTAAGAGTTCAGAGCAGGGTAAGGAGGAAAAGTTACTAACATTTAACATTTTTTTTGAGTACTTACAAAGTACCTGGCATGTTTATAAGAATAAATTAATCACTTTGACTAATTCAAATGATATTTATTATTGTAAATTTTTATGGTGAACATTATAGAGATATATAGAGGGTCAATAAAGAGAATCCTGGCCTTTAATAAGTTTACAATCTAGAAGGGGGAGATTTAGCATACAAAGCACTTCGTGAGTTCAAAGAAAGAAGAGATAACTTATCTAAGATGACAGAGGAAAATAAAAAAACCCTGGGAGAAAAATAACAGCATGCTCAACTTCTACGATCTCTCCTAAATTTTCTGCTATCTGTTTGAACTTTCCAGCTCATTAAGTCTCATGTTGTAAAAATGCAACTTTCCTTCTTATACTTCAGTTCTAATGGTCCCAGAATTGAAAAACCTGTAGCACAGATTTATGTCATAAGAGGAAACAAGTGTTTATAAACTTCAGCATGCTTGCTTATTGGTTAAATCATAAAAAGGAGTTAAAAAGAAATTTACCAGTTCATAGAGAAAGAGAGTGAGTGGATAATAAGGCAGCTAAGATAAAAAGTATTATATTATATTATATTATATTATATTATATTATATTATATTATTTTTTTAAGAAGTTTCGCTTCCTGAAAGCAGGAACTAGATGGAAACACTCTCAGCAATCATAATCCTACATATTTCTGGTTCTTCTTCCAACTCTGACTGCTCTTTTTTAAAATTTGCAAGTGAAGTCCCTCTATCTTCATTTTTCTTTATAAAGATTGTTTTGGCACTTCTGGGTTCTTTACCTTTCCATATTAATTTTGAGATCAGCTTGTTAATTTGTAGGAATTGTATTGAATTTATAGATCAATGTGAAGAGAGTTGTTGTATAAATAACATTGGGTCTTCCAATCCATAAACATGGAATGTCTCTCCATTTATTTAGATTTTCTTTAATTTCTCTCAGCAATATTTTATAGATTTTAGTGTACAAGTCTTGTACTGCCTTCGTTAAACTTACTTCTAAATCATTTGTTCTATTTAATGCTACTGTGATTGGAATTGTTTTCTAATTTCCATATTGGATTGTTCATTGCTAGCATTGCTAGCATATAAATATACTAGCAATATAAATATGAGTTTTGTATATTGATACTATATCCTGCAACCCTGTTGAACTTATTAGTTCTAATAGTATTTTTACGGATTTCTTAGGCTTTCTTATACAGAAGATCATGCCACCTATGAATAAAGACAGTTTTAACTTCTTTCTTTCGAATATTAATGTCTTTTTTTTTTTTGCTTGCTTGATGGCACTAAGCAGAATCTCCAGTACAGTGCTGAACAGAAGACAGCAGACATCCTTGCCTTATTCCTGATCTTAGGAGGAAAGCATTCAGTCTTTCACCATTTAGTATGATGTTAACTGTGGGTTTTTGGTAGCTGCTCTTTATCAGGTTCAGGAAGTTCTTTTTTATTCTTAGTTTGTTTATAATTTTTATCATGAATGGGTGTTGGATTTTTGACAAATGCTTTTCTGCATCTATTGTCCTTCATTCTATTACATTTTCAGATGTTAAACCAATCTTGCATTTGTGAGATAAATCCCACTTGGTCGTGGATTGATCTTTTCTACATGTTGCTGGATTCAGTTTGCTGGATTCAGTTTTACCTTGTTAAAGAAATTTTTGTCTATATTCATGAGAGATATTGTTCTATAGTTTTCTTTTTTGGGGGGGTAATTAGTTTTATTTATTTTATTTATTTTTAGAGGAGGTACTGGGGATTGAACCCAGGACCTTCTGCATATTAAGCATGTGCTCTACCACTTGAGCTATACCCTCCCCCTTGTTCTATAGTTTTCTTGTAATGTCTTTATTTGATTTTGGTGTCAGGGAAATGCTACTTTCACAGAATGCATTGGGGGATGCTATTTCCTCCTTTATTTCCTGAAAAGAGTTTGTGAAGGATTGGAATTAGTTTTTGTTTAAATGCTTGTAAGATGACTGCTCTTTTTAATATCTTTAATCTTTGTTAATTCATTGCATCTAGCATAGGGTTTCACCAAAAAAAAATTCAAGAATGAACTGAATTATACAACTACATCCAAGAAATGGCTAAACTAGTATTTAACAGTATCCTAAATTTCAATCAAAGTCACTTTTAAAATGGGAGAATACTATGAAAAACAATCTTACAATTAATTTTAAGTTTAGGAAAATGCACAAATTTACTTACTAGGTAATAGCTCTCTATCAGCAGTCTCTGTGCAGCTGGGATAAGGGTAAAATAGATGGCCTTTCTCTAATGGGTATGGAATCATTCTAAAAGCTGAGGGAAAAAAAATATGTTGACATTCAATTCAATCTCATTTTCATCCTTTACTACAATCAAAGCTATTTTGGAGACATATTTTTATTAAATTTTCATATAGCATTTTATTTTCTGTTTTAGATAGACATTTTAGATGAAAGAAACAAAGTATGCAAAAGAGTGAATAAGGGGAAGAATAAGATTTATTTAGAGAATAGTCACAGTCTGCTGGAATAAAACTAACGGGAGTAGTGGAAGATAAGACTGGCTGTGCCCTTCTTGCCTCAGTCTCCTCATTACAACACAACAGACTTAACTCTCCAGGTATGAATTCCACTTTTTAGGCGAATCACATGTAACTGTTGAGGTCCTAACTGTTGGCAACCTAAAAGAGTTCTCAATGGCTCCTAATTTCATATGGGAGCTGTCACCAAAGTTTTCTACGAACAGAGCTTAATCTAGATCAGGGGTCACCGAAGTATCTAAATTAACTATCTAAAGGGGTAACCCTTGGCCAGACCTGGCCCACTATCTGCTTTTATAAAAAAAATTGTATTAGAATACAGCCATGCCTGTTTGTTTATGTATTATGTAAGGCTGCTTTCATGC